GATCCACTTTTTAAATGAGTAATTGTCTTGACTTGACTTAATGCTGACAGCGGTTGGAAGACATAATCAGTCGGCCTTTTTTGAGGCATAGTTCGATTTTAATACAAGTTTGAAAACAGTAACCCCGGCCCCCTATACACGGTTAAAATGGTGATTAGAGTTTAAACACTTTTTTGGGTACCCACTTTTTTCACATGTACAATGCATGTGTGAATAGTTTTTGCACAGGATGAAACCGGTTAGTAACATCATTAATAGCCTAACTTATGAAAAAAAGTGTAAAAGTGGTTAGTGTTATTTCTTTTGCTTTTGCCATTTATGCCTGGTGGTTCCTTATAGACTTTCCTCGTGTACCTAAATATGTCATATATAGACATCCATAACAAGTCCTAAATAAGTCGTATCATTAAAAGCGTGGGGAAATTGAAGTGTTTTAGAGATACATGTATATGCTCAAACTCTAAACTCACTTTTTGCGGTAATTATGCATGGGAACCTCATCACTGCGTCTAAATCAACCAGGAAAAACACCATTACAATTACAAAACATTGCACTTGTCAGGGCAAAACAGGATACGACTTTGCTGGCATTTGTTGCCATATCCTGCTACAAGCAGGAAACAAATAAATAGAAAGGCAAATGGACGTGAACTTTGCTTTCATTTTACCGTTATGTTGTCGTGAACTGAAAGTTTATGGGACGCTCATTTCAACCAACACGCCGACACGGAAGACTTGGGTGAAACACACGGAGACAGTAGAAAAACACACCAAACCCTTGGCAGAAAGAGATACAGTCTTCTGCTTTCGGAGGTTTGCATTGCGGCGTGTACCAGTACACGAGTCTTGACAACATAAAACTCCATTCTGTGGACACGCTACGGGAGGCAACGGTTCAAAATAAGAAAGCTTTAGCTTCAGTTAACTTTATGCTCAGACTTCCAGTTTTTGCAACAATCTGCTTATACAGAGGAAGGCAAAGGCCCAACGTGAACTTAGCCCAAAACCTGTACATCTGCTCAAAAGACATTCCCTGAAAGAGAGAAATACCAAGACAGCAGGCAGCCTTTTCTTCCTGGACAGTCGGCTACACTCACAAACAGTTTTCGCACAAACTTCCCGACATCTCGACGGTCCCTACGTTGGCGCCAAATCAGCTGACAATATGCAGCCAAAACAGCGATTCATGATTGTTTTATCTTTTGTGGAAGCTGTTTTGATGTGCTTTATTTTGATGAGTAAAGCCGGCCTGAGTAAAGGTTTGGGAGATGGCGTTGTGATACTGACACGGGGTTCGCAGGAACCAACAACTCGTTCTGTTACGATTGTGGAAGGCGGAACATTAATTCTGCATTGCTCTGCCTCAACGTACATATTACAGGACGTCTGGTGGGGAAAAACGAACGAGATGGGTGATGTGTATCTGACGAAAAACGAAGAAAAGATTACTGGTGATTCTCGTATTTTGATATCAAGGAGCGAGAAATTCACCTGGGATAACCTTGATTATCGTACTTACACTATTCGAATAAGTCCAGTAGCAGTGACAGACGCCGGACATTACTTTTGCCTGGCTATTTGGAAATTAAGTGCCGACACCAACGAACAATACATGGACGGTGGGTTTATAGTGTCTGTGACTAGCTTTCGAAATGGCATCCCTTCTTGCTGGTCAACGGGCCATTTCACCAATCGGACTTTGGTTTGGTGCAAGACTGAGCATGCCTACCCCGGCGTGAACATCACCTGGACAGTTAAAGAGACTGACGAGGTAGTATTGGTCACCAGCGATGACATGGGCACGGATGCCAGCGGACGGCAATGGGTCCGGAGTTCTTACCAAGTCAGCCAAGAGCTGCAGAATCAGGTCCTGGTTTGCACGGTGGAGAGTCCTGCATTTCCGGGACGGAACCAGACCTGTTCCGTCTCTCCGCTTGTGAAGGCTGACTCTTCCACGGTAAACCCGAACGCGGCGAATGACCAGGCGGAATCGACGAGCGAGTCCTCAGAAACAACACCTGCAACAGCCACAGATGCCACTGTCTTTGGTACGGATATCACTACAAGAGCCTCCTCCGCCCCACCGCACTCGACATCAGCTATTTTCGTTAGCGGAATCATTACCGCAACGGACTTACCTCCTACTCGCGCAGTCACCGATGAAACTCAGACGGGATACATCGCGGCTGCAGTGGGAATCCCTGCAGCGTTCGTTGTCGGCTTTCTGGTTTCCCTGGCGTGCACAAGGAAGCGACAACAGGGAGATAAAAGGCGAAGAAACGATCCAAAGAGAGAAACAGCCACACCCGTCGGGGGAAATCAACCACCAGGCATGGAATTGACGGAATCGGCCACACCCGCCGCGGGACATCAACCACCAGACATGGAACTTGCGGTCGTTCCGTACTCGGTAACAACAATGCGAGACGAGACGATGACGTCAGCGTCACGAGACGATGACGTCACGGGGGCCAGAGTCTCTGTCCACGCGTACGAAACGCGGATCGGACCCGCGGAAGACACAGACAACGCCACCTACGAACAGGTGGATCGTAATATCGGCGGCAACGAAGTGACGAGTAGTTACCTGGAACTGCAATAGATAGACCAATCAACTAATAGCCCCCCCTTGTCATTTGACCAATAACAGCCATATTTATGTTCGAGATGCGTACGCCAGCAATTGCGTATAGACGTGCGCGTCTAGAACATGCAGTAAGACATTGGTGCAAGTGCGCGGTGGGCGTGGCCGGAATAATCAGTCTAATAATGAAGTCAGTGACATAACACACCCACCAGGACTCGTTATACTCATCTGTTGATAATTGTATGAATATGTTAACCTTTGAAGTTACATTCATGTCAAAAGATTCTTCAGTTCTCTGTTGACAAAAGTTTCCCATGATAAATATCGGAAATGTGAAAACAAAATCCTGAATTTATACAGTATTACTTATGCTGGGCGTGTAGAAAAAAGTAATCCATTGTGCGAACTAACCAATGAGATTACCTTTGTGCTGGTCCCAGAGGGCCAGCCTACAGTCCTCTTTCTACCTATCTCACTGGCTCACTGACGGACTGGCACCTGTCAATTAGACTTGTCTAGCCTCACCTTAGCCCCCAAATATCACTCACATGACTACTTTGACTACTTATGCCAAATTGGGCTTAACGAGGCGTGCCTGTAGTCTTGCTTATCATTTCAAAAAACTAAAAAATGAATATTATCAAATTAGGGATTTGATCAAATTATCACGAAATACCTTACTGGATTGTTAGGGACTGACAGTCAAATGCCTCATTTAAAATCGTGTCTCCAGGTGTGCTGACATTTAAAAAAAAACCCGATATGTATCCAACGCTGGTAGGCCGACCAGCGTTGGAGACAACTGGCTATTTTTCAAAAACTGTTCTTAACTTTTCATATTTAGTTATTCTGACTTTTCTTTGCAATCGATTATACACATGTGAAGGGGTACAAGCCTTCTAGAGTTATTCTCTGACCTAACAATTCTCCAGGGTGTATTAATTGCTCCGTTTCATCTTAAGTGGGGTCAGGGAACCAGACTACAAGAACATGCTAGGAAGCGTGAAGTAAGTCAGTTAAGCAATATTTTCTATAACATACTAATCCTCCAAATCTGTTTCCGAAATTTGAAGCAAAAGCAAATGTTGTGCATTCTCTTTCACATTGATATTATAGAAAACAGAGCTTCACTTTGTAGCAATATAACCAAAGCTGCTGTAAATATACCTGCGTTTAGTAACTTTCTTGTCAAGTGGGATAAGAGGATTTTGAAACAGTGGCAGGATAAGTCCGCCCAATTGGGACGAACGAAATTTACGTTCTGTTTTATGCACTTAATAGGTATACTAATAGTGTCGAAGCATGTAACAGCTGCTCGTGTACAATGCACTTTAACATAAACAGTGGACTTTGCTTGGCCATACACGCCACATCATGTTTTTTTTTAAATTTCCTTCCCTGTTTAGGCCAAAAAAAGTCTCCGGTTTCTGGTATGGAGCTTGCCCAAAAAAAGGTGCGGCGACGCGGCTTTTTTTTTTTTTACCTGTTTTTTTTCTTCAAATGTCGTCTGATGACTGCAAATGGTGCCCGACTAAACTTAGTGCAAATATTTGGGAGTCCAGAGAGGCCACATAAAGCTTATTCTCCATCATAACCCCATCTAAAAACACGTTAAAATTGTGCAGCAGCAGGATTCAAGTCAAACCAGTGAGTTTGGCGGTTTTGAGACATCATCTTTTATTGAAAAAAAACTTTTTCATTTGCCGACGCGCTTGGCTACGGCGACGCGCGCGCATACCAGAAACCGGATACTTTTTTTTTGGCCTTAGCATCTAATTTGTAAAAATTATGAAAAACATATGTTCAAGCAAAACATGCAACGTATACATGTAAATTGAATCTATAAAGGTAAAAGTGTAAAATATTTTCCTCTTTTAGGACTTTTCATAAAACTATAAGTATTATAATCCTTTTGTTCGTGCTTTTATTACACAGATATTAACGGCTGTTTGTTATGTTACTTAAAATGACTAATTAATCAATTTTGTTTTATGATTTCAAGAGTTCATCTATTTGAACATCGGGAAATTTTCCACAATATTGAAGCTTTGACGAAAAACACCAAGTGTGAAAGCGGTTTCTAAATTTCATTTTTTGCTAATCATTAATTCTTTAGTAATGTATTTAACTACATTGAATCTGTCGAAACTGAGTTTTGAACATTAAAGAACAAAATTAGTTCACGTTCAGCCAATGATTATGTGCTTTCGCGGAATTGCTGATTGTGAGCTAAAACCATATATGTCTTGAATAAAGTATAATTATTTGCATCTCTTTGATTTCTGTGTTTTGTTTTTGAATGGGCATAATTACATGTAGTATTGACATTGAGAAGACAACATTGTTTAAAGAGTGGCCAATCCATTTGGTTTCTTTTTACGACTTCTTTGGGATTTTTTTAGAGCCTGTAGTTTCAGCAGGATGGGGTTGGGGTAGGGTTTAAGGATTGGATTAAGTCCAGGATTGGGTCGAGTTGGGTTGGGTTGGGTTGGGATGGGTTAGGTTTGACTTGTTGGCTGGGCTGTACTGGGTTTTGATGGGGATGGTTGGATGTGGATCGGATGTTGTTTGGATGTGATGTGCTGGGCTGGGCCGTCTGGACTTGCATAGGGTGGGTTGGGGTGGGCTGGGATAGGCTGGACTTGGTAGGGTTGGCTTGGGTTGGGATGCGGTAGGTTGGACTTGTTGGCTGGGCCGTGCTGGGTTTTGATGGGGTTGGTTGGATGTGGATCGGATGTTGTTTGGATGTGATGTGCTGGGCTGGGCCGTCTGGACTTGCATAGGGTGGGTTGGGGTGGGCTGGGATAGGCTGGACTTGGTAGGGTTGGCTTGGGTTGGGATGGGGTAGGTTGGACTTGTTGGCTGGGCCGTGCTGGGTTTTGATGGGGTTGGTTGGATGTGGATCGGATGTTGTTTGGATGTGATGTGCTGGGCTGGGCCGTCTGGACTTGCATAGGGTGGGTTGGGGTGGGCTGAGATAGGCTGGGCTTGGTAGGGTTGGCTTGGGTTGGGATGGGGTAGGTTGGCCTTGTTGACTGGGCTGTGCTGGGTTTTGATGGGGTTGGTTAGATGTGGATCGGATGTTGTTTGGATGTGATGTGCTGGGCTTGGCCGTCTGGACTTGCATAGGGTGGGGTGGGCTGGGATGGGCTGGGCTTGCAGTTGGGTTGGGTTGGGTGGAGTGGGGTTGAGCTGGGCTGATCCGTACTTGCCTGAATAGGCTTGGCAAGACTAGGCTTAGCTCGCATGGGCTTGACATATGGGTTGGGTTGGGTTGGGCTTGGTTGGGCTGGGCTGGGCTGGGGCTCGGTTTGGCTTGACTAAGGTCTTTTTTGGAGCGGGGTTAGGTTTACAAGGAAAGAGGTTTATGGAGAATTTCTTTTACGGATACATCATTTGAAGCCACTCTCCGTATAAAGTAAAGTGACTCTCAGAAGAAGTAGCAGTGCTTTTGGGAGGGGGCGTGATTTTTTTTTTTTTTTTTTTTTAGCTTTACGACGGGTTGACCACTATTTCCAGAAATAACTGATGTTGTAACCTCTAAATATATGTAGTTACAGCTGGGAAACGGAGGATGCGATAGTTCAAGAACTAGTTTGGAATTCTAAATATAACGGTGGGATTTCCTGCTAAACGCTGGCGCGAATTGGAGCAGAATCAAGGAATGTCGTCACAACACTGCGCTGCAACAACCAAGGACAATTTATGAAGCTAATTGCCGAAAAAGGCCATACAAAACTCGAACAGATGGGATCGATACCGGCATAGTGAAACAAGGAAATAGACAGGAATAAAAAAAATATGACAAATCAGCCCGTCTCAATGGAAAGTGTTTGAACCATACGAATTCTATTTGCTCAGTCATGCCATGACAGAGAAATACTTATGAGCAGTACCAGGAAATAGACATAAACATAGACATTGATTAGTTCACTTGAAATAAGAAAGCATTCCGACCACTGCATCACATTAGGCAAAATACTTTTCCGTTAATAGTTATAGAAGAAAAACAAAGGCCCAACGTGGACCTAGTCCAAAAACTGTACATCTGCACGGACATCGCCAAGAGAAATACCAAGAGAGTTGACAGCCATTTTTCTTCCTAAACAGTCGGCTACGCAGTTCCAGCAGTTAATTCTACAAGGAAGACAAACCGCGTAAACGTTTACGGTCTCTGCGTCGGCGCCAACTCAGCTGACAATTATGGAGCATAACCAGCGATTGCTGCTTGCTTTATCTTTTGTTGAAGAGCTTTTGATGTGCTTTATTTTGATGAGTATTGTCGGCCTGAGTAAAGGCTCGGAAGACGGCGTTGTGATATTGACACGGGGCGCGGAGAAACCATCAACTGATTCTGTTACCGCTGTAGAAGGTGGAACATTGATCATGCATTGCGAAGTTCCAACAGACATGTTGAGGGAAGTCTGGTGGGAAAAATACAGCGGCGAGAGCGGTGTTGTGTATCTGACCGAAAACGAAGGTATAAATACTGATTCTCGTGTTTCTGAATCAAGGGGCAGGAACTTCACCAGGGATAACATTTATTACCGCACTAATACTATTCGGATAAGTCAAGTAGCAGTGACGGATGCTACAAGTTACTATTGCCAGGCTACATGGAAGTTAAGTAACAGTGCACAAACGAACGGGAATGGTGAGTTGACTGTGTCTGTGACTGGCTTTCAAAATGGCAACCCTAAGTGCTGGTCATTGCGCGATTGCACCAATGGGACTTTCGTGTGGTGTGAAACTGAACATGCTTACCCCGGCGTGAACATCACCTGGACGGTTGAAGAGACAGTTGAAGAGACTGGCCGAGTAGTCGAGGTCTCCAGCGCTGATATGAGCACGGATTCCAACGGGCGGAAATGGGTCCCGAATTCGTACCAAGTCAGCGGAGAGCTGCAGAACCAGATCCTGGTTTGCACGGTGGAGAGTCCAGCATTTCCGGGCAGGAACCAGACGTGTTCTGTCGATCCATCCGTGAAGAATGTCTCTACCACGGTCAACCCTGACACAGCAAATGCCAAGACGGAATCCACCAGGGAGTTTTCAAAAACGACACCTTCAACAGCAACATATGCCACCACGACGAAACCGGAAAGACATGACAGCACAACAGTTTCCTCAGATTTTTGGGGGTCAAGTCCAACCCTTCCAAATGACTATGCACCCACAACCGGACCACTAACCTCTACGACCGTCAGAGCCATTCCCGAGTCTTCGCCCGATATTGTCACCGTTTCCGCCGCCGTGGCGATTCCTTCGTTCACCCTTCTCCTCGTTGCTTTGCTGCTTTGTATTCTGAAACGGAGGAGGCGTCAAGCGACTGCGACACGTTAAGCTGGGAAAGTGGCAGCCTGCATCAAGAGCGCGTCAACAGCTGCAACGACAATGTCATGACTGGCGGTGACAGTGACAAGTTCGAAGCGGGGAGTGACGAATCTGATGGAAGGATGGTCGACAATCCGATTTATCAATCTTATGATGATGAGTACCCGTCTCACTATAGAACTAAACTAATGATTTGATTTTTAACCAACACACGGCAGATATAACTTAAAGATGCATGCGATGCAATGTTTTTGATGCAGTCCTTGAAATGCACCTTTGTATCGTACTTAGCCTGTTTTTAATTTTTTGGGGTCATTCTCAAGGGTATTTAGTGTCTTTTTTATGCAAATACGAATTTCCATAGTCATGAGCAAAAGTGTGACGTCATTTCAAATAGAAACCTCAATGTTAGGCCTATAGTAATTTCAACAGCAAAAGTTGCCAGAATTTGGGATATTTGTCGCCGTAAATTCTGTTTTCGTTGGTGATTCGTTGTTGTGTCAGTGCATGGCAGTAAGACAGTGAACACATTTTCCTCCAGATGTTTTGAATGAGCAATTTTTATTCGTTCACATTTTGAACGGAAAACCCCTAAATAAACACTGTCTTCCTCAAAAACGTGATTATGTGAATAGTTCTGTTTTGGATATCAAATTCAATAAGATTTTTTTTGAAATACTCAAAAATATCATGAAAACAGCACATTGAGTTGTTGGGAAAATGTCAATGATGTAACACAGCTCCTTTTTGGTCCATTCCAACGGCATTAACACAGTTAAGGTGTTTACACTGTTCCTATAATATGTGCATGAAATTCATGTAGTGCACGGTGTCCTCCTTTAATTCAGAAAAAACACGGTACATAATGTGACGAGTGCAAACGAGTTTGATGGAATTACCTTGTATTTTCTACCTGATCAGGTTTCTTATCCTTTTTAGCTCAATTTGCAACCTTTTCAGCACCATAAATATGTCAAAATATTACAGAAATTACACCAATGAAAGACAATTGCACAATGGGCTTAGAGTATCACGTTTCACTGTTTGAATGACCATTGGAAAGGATTTAAAATCACTTCTTTTACATAATTGTCAAGTTCTCAGCAACCCAATGTGCTGATTTTATGATTTGTTTTCAGTATTTGAAAGAAAAACTCGCAGCTTTAATCTGATATCTGAAATATGAAAACATTACAAATCACTTTTTTGAGAAAAAAAAGCCAAATGTTTCAGGGTTGCATGTTTTGGGTCACACTGTATAGGAGGCTATTTAGCCATTTTTTTAAACTGGGGAACCGTAAAGGACCGACTGAGATTAACAAAATATTATTCATGTACGCAGTGGCGTAGCCAGGAATTTTTCAGTGGGGGCGCTGGGGGGGGGGGGGGGGGCTGGAACATTTCATCCGGGGGGGGGGGTGTCATGTAGATCAATGATAATTTGAAACTCAAAATCTCAGTGGGGGGCGACTGGGGGGCGGGGGGGGGGGGCGACAAGGTTTCATGGCGGGCTGTCGCCCCCATGCCCCCCGTGGCTACGCCACAGCATGTATACCCTAAATTTGCCTCACAAACGTCGCCATCAAATCGAATATGAAATCCAACACCTAAAGTGTGTGTTAACAAAGTAGCCTGTAGCTAAATAAATAAAATAAGTTAAATAAGGAAACAAAACGAAAGAAACGCTAAAAGGCATTGTTCTGTTATGACACATTTTGTTTTTCATTCGCGTGGACAAGTTTCTTTTCTTCATTATATGACTGAGGGCAAAAGGAAAACATGTGACACTATCACAACATAAGCAGCAAGTTACAAGGTTTAAAGAGCAAGCGCTGAATGACTGGGTGACGTGATATCTATTTCGTATAGGTATATCATGTTACTTATATTCGCACCACATCAGCTAGTGTCAGTCGCCAGCGTGCAACGAACCAAGCGACACATCATGATGCTACTCAAGCAACAGCAGGTGCCATTTCAGCCAGCGTCTTGGAGGCACGTCTGCTTCCTTCTGATGAGTGTGATTTACCTGGGTTGCATTCCTCGAGAAGTGACTCCTCTGTTTCTGACAAGAGGCGTAGCAAGTCCAGCCAGTGAGTCCATTCATATCAAAGAAGGCGAGACACTGTCTATGAACTGCTCCGCCTCGGTTAGATATTTATACGACGTTTGGTGGGCTAAGTCGATTGGATCCAATGACACTAATTGGCTAACAAGGAATGCCATTATTCGAACAAATGATCCCCGAGTTTCCATTGCAACGCGCTCGTTTGACGAGCACAGCACATTTTCTTTGCAAATAACCGACATCACCTCATCGGATGCTGGAAGGTACAAATGCTATGCCGTGTGGAGAAGTGTGCCTGACTCGTTTGGATACATTTTCGTATCGGTGCAGTACTTTCCGGCAGAAAACCCGATATGTGCCACGAATGACAGCGATCTGATTTCAACCGAAAGCATCGCCGTGTGGTGCGACACTGCGATCGGCAACCCTGAGGTGACCATCACTTGGAGAGTGGACACTTCTGACAAGGAAGTCACAGGTAGCGTCTACAGCATAGAATTACCGCAAAACGAACGCATGAGGAGTGTCGTTAAGCTCGGAGAACACCTGCAGAATCAAGTCTTGGTATGCACGGTGACTAGTTCAGCATTTCCAGGACAGAGTCGGAGCTGTTCCATCGGACCCATCTTGTACGCAGGCTCTATGCATACCACAACGGACTTGCCTCCTTCTCCCTTGATCACCGATGAAACTCAGACGGGATACATCGCGGCTGCAGTGGGAATCCCTGCAGCATTCGTTGTCGGCTTTCTGGTTTCCCTGGCGTGCACAAGGAAGCGACAACAGACAGTCAAGAGGGGAAGTAACGGGACAAGGAGGGAAACGGCCACACCCATCGGGGAAAACCAACCACCAGA